TGTCCTGCCCTGGGATGGGGGGAGGGATGGAAGGGGCCATGTGGGAGACTAAGTTGTATCCTAGAGTGCACTGAGTACTCAGCTCCCTTGGGGAATCAGCTGGGCTGTTCCTGAGGCAGAGGGGATGCACCTTTACTGCAGGTGTGTGCGCCTGGGATCTTGTATCAGCCAGAGCCCAGTCCCTGCAAGGTGGGGAAGGAGACTCTCTGGGTGGGTGACTCAGATCCTGGACACAGTAATGGCACAGACCTTAATGAACAAGATCAACTCTTTTAATTGCTCCCCAAAAAGGATTTCCATTTTCCAAAGCTCATGTGATCTCCTGGGTGGAGCAGGGGGAGGAGCTGCAGATCCTAGATCTCCAGGGCTGTGAGAAAGGAGAGATCATCAGTGACACCTGCACAGGTGAGCAATCAGCTAAACTGACTCAGAAAATAATGTCAGTGTCCTCCTAGCAGATGACCCTTCTTCATGTCTTAAACACCAGTCTGAGGGTGCTGGGTGGGGGAAGGGTTATGGTGAAGGAGGGTGAACTCAGCTCATGGTTATTCAATCTTTCCAGCCATTCCTTGGGCATGCTCCTCCTTTTCTATTTCTATTTTAGAGTTTCCTTTCAGCTCAGCACAGGGTATGACTCCTGTCTGGATTCTCTCTCTGTCCCAGCAGGTGATGAGATGCTAACTGACAACCATGAGGAGAGTCTTGAGCAGGAAGGACCAGAGAAAATGGCTCCATGTGGGATGTTATTGGGAAAATCTGAAGGATATGTTTCTCAGAGTTTTGAGCAGGGAGAGACCTGTGAGAGCCAGTGTAGCTCACAAAAGCAGCAGGGAAACTATCCAAGAGAGGGACAGGATAAATCCAGCCACAGAAGCAGAGGGGTGAAAACAAACACAGAAACTGTTAATCAGAAAATCCCCCATCAACAGTCACCCTGTGCTTGCAGTGACTGCGCAACTCTTAGTAAATGTGGAAGACCCCACACAGGAGAGGAACCCTTCAGTTGCTCTGAGTGTGGAAAATGGTTCAGTCAGAGGTCATGCCTTGTTAGTCATAGGAGAACCCACACAGGAGAGAAACCTTTCTGCTGCTCTGACTGTGGGAAAAGCTTCAGTCAGAGCTCACATCTTGTTGGACATATGAGAACCCATACAGGGGAGAAACCTTTCAGTTGCTCTGAGTGTGGAAAATGGTTCAGTCAGAGGTCATGCCTTGTTAGTCATAGGAGAACCCACACAGGAGAGAAACCCTTTAACTGCTCTGACTGCGGGAAAAGTTTCAGTGAGAGTTCAAGCCTTGTTGCACATAGGAGAACCCACACAGGAGAGAAACCCTTCACCTGCTCTGACTGTTGGAAAAGCTTCAGTAAGAGGTCAAATCTTCTTATCCACAGGAGAACCCACACAGGGGAGAAACCTTTCAGTTGTGCTGACTGTGGAAAATGCTTCAGTCAGAGGTCACACCTTGTTAGACATAGACGAGAAACCCTATAATAGAGGTGAGCAAAAGCCTCTCAATGGGCTGAATCCAGCCTGCCTAGGGATTTGATCCTGATTGGGGCCTTCTTGGCATGTGCTGTGTGGGAACGAGTTCTGCCGCACCCTTCTTCCTGGC